GCCCACCTGTAGCTTCAGCTACTCGGGAGCGCTGCAGGCAGGGGGAGAATGGCGTTGAACCCAGGAGGGCGGAGGCTTGCAGATGAGCCCAGGATCGCGCCACTGCACTCCAGCTTTGGAGCCGCAGAGCGAGACCCCGTCTCAAAAAAAAAAAAAAAAAAAAAAAAAAAGAATATCATCAGCCATCGATAGCACGTTAATGTGCACTGCCTTGCAGACCAGATGGCCAGTACCATGTAACACTTACCACAGGTTTATCCTTGTTTATGGTGGAAGGCTGTGGATGGTCAAAGGAGTGATGTTTCTAAACTTCACCAATGGTGCAATCTAAACGAGTGTCTCCTTTTTAAGTTGGTGATCGCAGATTTTTCCTCGGGATATCTGTCCGTGTACAGCAGCTTGTCTGCGCTCTCGATGCCTGTCAGGGCTAGAAAGTCTTCCACATTTTTCTCTAACTGCTTATTTTCCTTCACAGAAAACTTGCCAAATTTAATAGCGACACCTAGGATTGGGAAGGAACAGGGAGAAAGTGTGTATCGTTAATAATGAACAAAAGCAAACCTATGACTTGGTTTTTCATCAGCAGTGACAGTACCACGGCCCAACAGTCCCAACACCTGACATTTGCTCTCCTGCCCCCACTTGCAGATTCGGCCTTTCCTCCAGGGTTCAGCCCAAGCCACACCTCTTCTGTCAATGTCCTCCTTGGTCATCCTATTCCAAAGTGACCTTTCCTGTTTCATCTATCTTTTTAAAAAATAGTTTTCAAATTTATTCATGCATTTTTTAGAGATAGGATCTTGCTTTTTCACCCAGGCTGGAGTGCAGTGGCATGATCAAAGTTCACTGCAACCTTGAACACCTGGGATCAAGTGATTCTCCTGCCTCAGCCTCCTGAGTAGCTGGGACTACAGGCATATGCCACTAACACCTGGCTAATTTTTTATTTTTTGTAAGATGGAGTCTTGCTGTATTGCGCAGGCTGGTCTTAAACTCCGGGCCTCAAGCAATTCTCCTGCTTTGGCCTCCCAAAGTGCTGGGATTACAGGCATGAGTCACCTCACCTGACCTAGGTTTACTTTAAAAATATCTTTTACGGGCCAGGCACAGTGGCTCATGCCTGTAATCTCAGCACTTTGGGAGGCCGAGGTGGGCGGATCATGAGGTCAGGAGTTTGAGACCAGCCTGATCAATAATATGGTGAAACCCCATCTCTACTAAAAATAAAAAATTAGCCAAGCGTAGCAGGCGCCTGTAGACCCAGCTACTTGGGAGGCTGAAGTGGGAGAACCGCTTGAACCCAGGAGGCGTAGGGTGCAGTGAGCTGAGATCGCGCCACTGCATTCCAGCCTGGGCCACAGGGCGAGACTGTCTCAAAAACAAACAAAAAAAAGTCCTTTATAAAATACATACTCATAAGAATTTCAACACAACACATCAATAAAATGGGATTATATACTACAATTGTGTGCATGTGTGTAGTGCTGTCTTTTTTGCTTAATTTGTCTTGTCTATTTTTCTGAATCTCTTCAATCCCATGAATTCTGGAAGGCTATGACTCCTCTTCTTACTTTCTCCAATGACCAGTTGTATTGGGTCTTACACAGCAGATATTCAGTAAATATTGCTCACTGGTAGTACACAGCCTTACATTTGCAGTTTATTCTTAAATCCAATAAGCTTTATTATTGGATTTAAGAATAAAGGTTATTTGTTATTCTTAATAATAATTCTCAATAATAATAATTCTTAATAAGAAAGGTTCAGAAACACAGTGAAATCAAGAAGGTGATCAAGTCCACTACAACCAGCTCACCATCAATTTAATATCTTGGAGAAAGAAACGATACCTCACTAAAGTTGATGATTTTAATCTGACAGCATTTTAATTTTATATAAATATTGTATCCTTTCCGGTGTCTCAACCAATTAACCTCTCGTCCCTTCTCTTCTTGGTGGGAATTAATTATCTGGTCTCTTTAGCCCCATTCTTCCTGGCCACCTTTACCAGAAACTGGGAGAGAAGAGGAAAAGTAAGAGCACTTCATTTTGCTAATTTTATAGCTTGGACAATTCTGGTAGGAGACAGAGGTGAAGGCAGCGAAAGAATGCTTCTTGTCCATCTATAAATCTGAATTATCCATAAAAGAAGGTCAGGTGCTAGCTCTGCATACAGGAAGTTCAACAAACACTAAGGCCCCACAAGCTCACCTTGTGCTTTAAATTCCTTAAACCTTTCTAAGTCATCCCGGTACATCCGCTTGATTGTGCTGGTGGCCCTGTCCTTGATGTTAGGAATGAATTCCTGAAGCTGTCTGACCGCAGAACCCAAATCCGCATCTGAATCATCGGCATCTCCTGAATCTGCATACAAATACCTTGTTTCGGAATCTTCAGCTGTTTCCACATTGCGTTCTTCATTTGCAGGTTCTAACCTAAGGGGTTAGAAAATTGGGTTGCCTAACATTAAGACATCACTTGACCTCATAACTTTTAAACTTTTCCTTCTTTTCTTTGTGAGACAGAGTCTCGCTCTGCCGCCAGGCTGGAGTGCAATGGTGCGATCTCAGCTCACTGCAACTTCTGCCTCCCGGTTCAAGCGATTCTCCTGCCTCAGCCTCCAGAGTAGCTGGGATTACAGGTGCCTGCCATCGCGCCCGGCTAACTTTTGTATTTTTAGTAGAGATGGGGTTTCGCCATGTTGGCTAGGCTGGTCTCGAACTCCTGGCCTCAAGTGACTCACCCACCTTGGCCTCCCAAAGTGCTGGGATTACAGGCATGAGCCACCATGCCTGGCCTTAAACTTTCTTAAAATGGCTCTCACTTAGGCTACCAGAATATTAAAGCAAGATGAGATCTTGGAGTTGACTCAGTCCATGATTTTCAAACTTTTTACTGGAACTTGAATTACTTGGATATATCTCAGAGGCAGCCTAAGCTAAACGTGCAGCCCTAAGCCCTATTTCCTCTGGTTATTTGCTCAGACTATTTTTCAAAGGTAATCTGGGCTTTTAAATTTACTCACAGATTTTCAGGGCAAGAATAGTTCTTAGTGAAAATCGAATCTGTCTTATTTCACACATGAAGAAATTAAACCACCTGCCAAGTTTACTCAATTAAAGATGGATGATATTCTGCACATTGAGGGTATATTGAGGGTCTCCCTCTTGATGATTTCTGCCATTTAATATGTATGTGCTGAGGCCAGGTGCGGTGGCTCACGCCTGTAATCCCAGCACTTTAAAAGGCTGAGGCGGGTGGATCGCCTGAGGTCAGGAGTTTGAGACCAGCCTGACCAACAAGGAGAAACCTCGTGTCTACTAAAAATACAAAATTAGCCAGGTGTGGTGGTGCATGCCTGTAATCTCAGCCACTTGGGAGAATTGCTTGAACCCGGGAGGCGGAGGGCACAGTGAACTGAGATCGCACTGTTGCACTCTAGCCTGGGCAATAAGAGCAAATCTCCGTCTCAAAAAAAAAAAAAAAGAGTCTGTGCTAAATAAAGAGGCATGGGCAGAATCCATACAAAAGAAATATACCAGTAGCTGGCATACCACTCCCACGTTACCTTGGCACCTCTTGCATATGCTTGCTTGCTGAACAGGCCCGGGTTTTCTTTCGTCGGGGCCTGGGTTTCACACTTTCTTCCATCACGGCACCATCACCTTCTACTGAATCAAAGAGTGTGCTCTCAGAGTTCTTACTGGACACTGGAAAACCATCACCAGACGCTACGGCCCTTTTGACAGACTTAAGCTTCCTTTTCTTAGACTTCTTCTCTGTACTGTTGGATTCCTTGAACCCTTTAAGAGCCTTCCTGCCTTCCACAATCCCAACCTCACGGCCCACCTGTGATCCTTCAGGGTATGCACTCTCAAGGCTCTCAGGCATCGCCATTGCCTCCAATTCCTGGTGATTGGACTTTTTCTTTTTTTTCTTTGACTTGTTTTTATAAGCAGGTGCTGGTAGTTCTGCAGTTTCACCATGTAGGCCCACAGCAGGCCGGGATTCCTGCGTCTCAGTCCCAACCTCACTGCCCACTTGTGATCCTTCAGGCATGGCCAATGCCTCAGAGTCCTGGTAACTGGACTTTTTCTTCTTTTTTTTCTTAGACTTTTTTTTGTGAGTAGGTCCTAGTAGTTCTGAAGTTTCACCATCCAAGCCCACAGCAGGCCGGGATTCCTGCGTCTCAGTCCCAACCTCACTGCCCACTTGTGATCCTTCAGGCATGGCCAATGCCTCAGAGTCCTGGTAACTGGACTTTTTCTTCTTTTTTTTCTTAGACTTTTTTTTGTGAGTAGGTCCTAGTAGTTCTGAAGTTTCACCATCCAAGCCCACAGCAGGCCGGGATTCCTGCATATCAGGCTCAGCCTCACTGCCCGCTTGCGATCCTTCAGGCATGGCCAATGTCTCATATTCCTGGTTACTGGACTTTTTCTTTTTTTTCTTACACGTGTTTTTATGAGCAGATGCTGGTAGTTCTGTCATTTCACCCCCTGGACCCATAGAAAGCCAGGACTCCTCCTGGTGGGATTCCGACTGAGGCAGGGCATCCATTGCCTGCTGGTTCTCCTGTACAGCATCCCAGGATGAAGCTTTCCTCCGATGCTTTTTATTCTTTTTCTCCCTAACTTTATTGTGCAGTGCTTCTGATTTATGTGTATGTGACTTAGCAAGTACCTGAAATTTGTCTGTTTTAGGCTCTCCTGGTAACTTCCGTTCCATGCTCATATCAACACAAATGACATCAACATCCTTTCTAAAAGGCTTTGGTGTGTTGCTAATATTTTCTTTATCCACAAGGACAACTGTAACACCTGCTTCCTCTTCCACCTCCAGAGCACTATATCTTCTCTTTTTTCTCTTTTTGAGTGTAGCAGTGGCATTTTCAGCATCATCATGGATTCTGGATTTTTTCAAAGGAGAAGAAATGAGATGCTGGAAATCTTTTTTCCTCTTTTTCCTCCTAGTTATTTGAGACTGTTCACTCACCAGGGAGGAGTCTCTGAAAATTTCGTGGGAATGTTTCTGAGGCCTTTCCTTATGTACAGAATACTTTTTCTTTTTCTTGTCAGAAACTGGAGTGTGGATTTCAAATCTGCGTGATTCTCCTTCCATTTTATTCCTATATGGAAATGTGATGACAACAATGGTTTATTTTTGCTTTTTTTTTTTTTTTTGAGACAGAGCTCGCCTCTGTCGCCCAGGCTGGAGTGCAGTGCGCCATCTCGGCTCACTGCAAGCTCTGCCTCCCGGGTTACGCCATTTTCCACCTCAGCCTCCCCGAATAGCTGGGATACAGGTGCCTGCCACCATGCCCGGCTAATTTGTATTTTTTGTGTTTTAGTAGAGACGGGGGTTTCCACTTGGTTAGCCAAGATGGTCTCCATCTCCTGACTCGTGATCCACCCACCTCAGCTCCCAAAGTGCTGGGATTACAGGCGTCAGCCCACCGGTGCTGGCCTATTTTTGCCATTTAAACATAGCCTCAGGGGAAAAAAAAATACAGCAAAATGAAAATTGTGATGGACAAATGACAAGCCGTAAGCATGATTTACAAATTTATATTAATTTTAGATACACACGGGTGCTCAACTGGAAATTCTGTCTGGTCCCAACCGCCCTTTATGATGGAGGAAAAAAAATAGTTAACAGAGAACAACAGTCCAAGTCCCACAGGCACCTCTGGACTCATGCTGGTCCAACTCTGCGTTTACCGGGGCGTGGCTCAAGCCTGTAATCCCCAGCACTAGTTGGCAAGGCCGAGACTGGCGGGATCACGAGGTCAGGACAATCGAACCATACCTGGCCTAACACGTGAAAACCCGTCTCTACTAAAAATAAAAAAAACTAGGCCGAGGCTGAGGTTGGCGGCCCTGTAGTCCCCAGCCTCCGGGAGAGGCTGAAGCGCCCGGAAATGGCGTGAACCCAGGAGGCGGAGCTTGCAGGTGGCTGAGAAAAATCCGGCCACTCGGCCACTCCCAACCTGGGCGGCAGAGCCGAGACTCGCACTCAAAAAAAAAAAAAAAAAAAAAAAAAAAGAAAGAAAGAAGAAAAAAAGAAAACAAGGAAGAAAAAGATGGTTTATCTGTCTTGTTCCCCTCTGTGTTTCTACCACGGAGAAGCCATTAGACCCCATTAGAGTGCAGGATCCACAAAAGGGCTTCGCAGTGGGGATATCAGGTATCCACTGACCTCAAACCAGAAGTCAGCCTCTTTGTGAAAGAAGTTGGATATGCCTTGTTAGTGTCCAACAAAGAGCAAACATTCTGCAAAACACTGGAATAAATTTCATAAGCCACTAACGTTAATACTCACATATCAGGTGTGTGCACTTGGAATTAAAATACAGTAACAGAAACGCACTTTCCAAAAGAGATGATTACAAATATAATTTTGCAAACATGTCTTATTGTTCTCTTTGCTCTGTGTTGCTTCTGGGTTTCATTTTTTTTTAGATTTTATCTTTGGCTAAATAACACATTTACATGGTACAAAAATCAAAATAATCTTCGTATTTCTTCTCCTTTCTTACACAGAAGGTAACAGCTATATATTGTGATCTGCACTTGCTATTTTTCCTTAACAGACCCCAGAGCTCTCTCTATATCAGCAGTCTTTAAAGTCTGAATGCTAAGCATATTTTCTACAGAAGCTACCTAGTTTATCCTGGGTAGTAAATATCAACTGTATTAGACAAGAAATAGGTCACTCCCCCAAGTCTAACACACCTGCTTGTGCTGCCACATCCTCTCTCTCTCTCTTGCTGCAACAAAGGAAGTGTCCCTTCTTCTGTCAAAGGCTATTTCCTTCCGTTATAGGAAGGAAAATGTGTGCTGGCTCCCAACCCCCTCCTGCCTTCTCAGAGAGATAGTGGTCCCCCAGGTACCCCATCTCTCTCCTGTATCTTCAGCCTGTGTTTTCTAGCAAAACACCAATAATATTTAATCTCCTCTAACTTAAAAAAAAAAAAAAAAAAGCAACTGTCGTCTAACCCTAAGTCTCATCCAGCTGTTCTCTTTCTTCCCCTTCACAGCAACATTCTCATAGAGAAATCACTCTTTCCATTACCTCACCTTTCATCCACTTATTTTTTTTTTTTTTTTTGAGACGGAGTCTCGCGCTGTCGCCCAGGCTGGAGTGCAGTGGCCGGATCTCAGTCACTGCAAGCTCCGCCTCCCGGGTTCACGCATTCTCCAGCCTCAGCCTCCCGAGTAGCTGGGAATACAGGCGCTGCACCTCGCCCGGCTATTTTTTTTTTTTTTTTTTTGTATTTTCTTAGTAGAGACGGGTTTCACCATGTTAAGCCAGGATGGTCTCGATCTCTCCTGAACTCGTGATCCGCCCATCTCGGCCTCCCAAAAGTGCTGGGATTACAGGCTTGAGCCACCGCGCGCCGGCCTTCATCCACTTATTAACCCACAATCCTTGGAGCTCCCACCCCACTACTCCACTGAGACTTCTCAGCAAGAGTGTCCTTAAAACCACTAACTTCAACAGATGCTTTTCAGGCCCATCTTTTAGGACTCTAATAAATCACAACAGAACAGATTATTATTATTTTTTGAGATGTAGTCTCGCTCTGTCGCCCAGGCTGGAGTGGCAGTGGCCTGATCTTGGCTCACTGCAAGTGTGCCTCCCGGGTTCACGCATTCTTCTGCCTCAGCCTCCAGAGTAGCTGGACTACCGGTGACCGCCACAACGCCCCGGCTAATTTTTTTGTATTTTTTAGTAGAGACAGAGGTTTCACCGTGTTAGCCAGGATGGTCTCAATCTCCTGACCTCACGATCCACCCACTCGGCCTCCAAAGTGCTGGGGATTACAGGCGTGAGCCACCGCGGCCCAGCTGATCTTTCTTTCTTTTTTTTGGAGGACAGAATCTCACTCTGTCACCCAGGCTGGAGTGCAGTGGCGCGATCTCAGGTCACTGCAACCTCCGCCTCCCGGGTTCAAGCGATTCTCCTGCTTCAGCCTCCGGAGTAGAAGCTGGGATTACAGAACACGCCACCAATCCCGCTAATCTTTTTATTTTTAGTAGAGATGGGGTTTTGCCATGTTGGCCAGTCTGGTCTTGAACTCCTGACTCAGATGACCCACCTGCCTCGGCCTCCCAAAGTGTCAGGATTACAGGCATAAACCACAGCGCCCAGCCTTGATTTCTTTATATAACATTTCCCCTTCCATCAGTTCCTTTCCTTCTTTTTTGTAAATACTTCCTCTGGTCTCTGGAGCCTAGTACAACCTTCTAAACATACAGTCTCTCCCTGCTAAAAACTTTTTAGAGTTCCCCTGTTATTCTTAAGATAAAGTCAAAATCCTCACAGACCTGCAAAGGTCTTCATTTCTTCATATTCTAGCCTAGAGATGGAGAGAGGTAGGTCCATGCCTACTTCTCTACCTCTCACTTCTCTCTAGGTTTCAGAAACCCTGCTTTTTTCAGTTCCCACCACACTTCTGGCAGTTATAATATGATCGGCTTCTTGAGGGCTGGAATTTTGGCCACCTTGCTCCCAAATGGCTCCCCAGTGCTCCAAACATATTGAAAGAACGGATATGCATTTATCCCCCCCTTACTCAGAACATACACTTCCCGCCCTGCAGGTATGTGCTCAAACCCGGTCCCGGATTCTCTCACCGCCTTTGAGGTGCCAGAAGAACCCCGCTCCGCTCCCGGGTGGGCGCTCCAGGGCTGAGAGGGGAGGAACTAACCAGATGTGAATTCTCCATCTTCTCACTCCCAAAGACCCAAGCCTCGGCCAGGCGCGGTGGTTCACGCCTGTAATCCCAGCACTTTGGGAGGCTGAGGCGGGTTGATCACCTGAGGTCTGGAGTTCGAGAGCTGCCTGGCCAACATGGTGAAACCCCATCTCTACTAAAAATACAAAAATTACCTAGGCGTGGTGGCGGGCGCCTATAATCCCAGCTACTTGGGAGGCTGAGGCAGGAGAATCGCTTGAAACCTGGAGGCGGAGGTTGCAGTGAGCCGAGATCGCGCCACCGCACTCCAGCCTGGGCGACAAGAGCAACACTCCATCTTTAAGAAAAGAAAAAAAAAAGACCTAAACCTCAGTTTCTCCAAGATAAGGCCTGGGGCGAAGACCGCGGCCTGGAGACCTCAGGCCAAAAGGCGCGTCACCCAGAAGACGGGGAAATCCACCACCCCAAGCTGGGTTTTTACGCGCGCATTTTGAAATACAGAAACAACTAACAAAGGCGCTTTCAACTTACCCTCCGAAAGCGCTGCCACCTTTCTCCCAACCCGGAAGTGCTGCTGATGAGGAAGCGGAAGTAGTAGTGCGTCGCCTTCCGGCCCCCTCGGCGTCACGCTGTCATGGTAACACGGCTGCCGCTAGGCAGTGGAAGCGCGCGCAGTTGTCTACCCGTTTTCCTTCTAGGTCCTTTAGAGGTCAGGTGGGGTAGAGCGTACTCCTAAAACGAAGAAAGTAGGACAGAATCCCCCTCCATTGACATACTAATGCATGCGTGCATTCCATTTATTCCAGTTTTTGGTGAACTCCAGGAACAACTTGGGAAGACAGATGATAAATCAACTGAGATAATTTCAGATTATCTAGTAAGGAAAATAAAATAGGGTAATATGATGGAGAGTGACTAGGGGACAGTGGGTACTACTTTAGATGTAAGGGAGGGCTCACTGAGGAGTGACATTTGAGCTGAGTTTTTGGTGAACTCCAGGAACAACTTGGGAAGATAGATGACAAACAAAGCAACTAAGATAATTTCTGATTACCTTGTAAGGAAAATAAAATAGGGTAACATGATGGAGAGTGACTAGGGGACAGTGAGTGCTACTTTAGATGTAAGGGAGGGCTCACTGAGGAGAGACATTTGAGCTGAGTTCTAAATGAAAAGGGCAGGCAAAAAATCTAGACAGAAGAGTGTTCCAGACTGGAAGGGAATGGAAAAGTCCTGAACTTGGTTGCTGGAGGACCTGGGAGAAGACCAGAGCAGCTGGAGCACAGAGTGAATTCACAGAGTGAACCCACAGGGTGACAGGTTGCACATGCCCAGCCTAAGTGAATGCATGTGAATGCAGGGGAGGGGGTAGGAGATGAAGTCAGAGGTCTGCAGGTGCAGAGTCTGATGGATGTTAAGCTTGGACGAAGTCTCAGAAGGTTAGAGCTGGCAGGAGTTTGGAGATCTATCCCAGTCTTCCCATTTCAACAGAGTCCTGAAAAGACCTAGCTAAAAGGGCAGCTTTAACCTGGCTATCAATTCAAGGCCATTATATTTACCAACCAAACGTTTAACCGTTTTGGATAGGGAACATATACGATACAGGCAACAAGTTTTCTCACTTAATCCTTGAGGTATCTATGAGGTATTATTAGCCCCACCTTGTGGATATATAAGAAACCTGGGTTTACAGTAACTTGTCAAAGGTGACTTAAATGGGCCAGCCAGAAATCAGACCTATGCTCTTTCTACTACTCCACTATCTTGCCCCTCACTGTTCCACCTGACTTCTATGTGATCTGCCAAGTGTCTTTGATTTAAAAATGCACAACCTATGCTTCCGTGAAAGTCTGGAAGGGAAGCAGGTTGGGGAAACGATGAACCTATATATGCTGTCCTGGGATGTGGATGTGCAGTTGGAGCTCTGTCTGGAGAAGTCTGTAAATGTGGTGGTGTCCACTGTTGATACGTAAGGCCTTGAAGTCCAGGTTCGTCATTGGTGTCACGTGTTCTGTGGTGAGCCCACTTACCCAGAGCCTTATGGTGCTAGTGATGCATGAATGAACCCACAAAAGGCTGGCACTAGAGGAGAGATTAGAGATCATACAGGTTAGTGGTTTCCAATCCTCCACCAACTGCACCAATCACTTGGGAAGCTTTTTTGTTTTGTTTTGTTTTAAATGCAGATTCTCAACTTTGCAATGGATTTTATAATAAACACTATTGTATCACATTAAAATCTTCGAACATGATAATGACATTGTAGTTATACATGGGAATGTCCTTGCTACCTGATGAAGTACCTAGGGTTAAATATGGTGTTGACAGATATTTTTTCAGGTGATTTTGTAATGTGTGTATGTGCATACTCACACACTCACAGAGAGAGAGCAAGAAAATGTGGCCAGTGCTGGGGATGGGTGAATCTGTTAGTCCAAACTACACCATTTTGTAAGCCCCCTGCCATTCCACAGACCTTGGTTAAAGTGAAACATTCCACGGGGGTTCAGGCGGTGAGAAACAGCATGCCTCTTATCATATTCTGCTGGGAGAAAGTGCCAGGAACATCACATTCCACCAGAACAAGGGCCAAACTGCCTCCTCCTGGGAATACCTTATCAACATCTTCCCAGGCAGTAGGCTATTCCCCCCGGGGCCCCTCCCTGCCCAGGCCTATAATTTCCCCAGCTTGTAAGCAGCGGTGGGCACTGGCATTAAGCTGGTCTCCCACCTCTGTAGGTCTTATGCTGGACATAAAGCCTGCGTTTGCTGTAGAGCCATCACTCTCTCTTTCTTCAACCCTCCCCTTCCCTTCAAAATCTAACAGAATCTAGGTGAAGCCTATATGTATTTTCACTGTATTCTTCTTTTGACTTTCAACTTTTCTATAGGTTTGAACTTTCACAAAGTTGGGGGTGGGTGGTTAAGGGGTTTTTTAAAAATGCAGCATCTGTCCTGGTGAGGTGGCTCATGTCATTATCAGAGCAAGACTCTGTCTCTTAAAAAAAGAAAAAGAAAAAAAAGAGAGCCTCAGGTGACATTTCCAGATATTCTGATTCAGTGAGTCCTGTGAATCTTCGTTTTTCTTTTTTTGGCACACGTTCTCATTCTGTCATCCAGACTGGAATGTAGTTGCCCAAACACGGCTCATAGTAGTCTCAACCTCCTCCAGTGATCCTCCTGCCTCAGCCTCCCCATAACTGGGACCACAGGTGTGTGCCACTACACCTGGCTAATTTTTTAAATTTTTGGTAGAGATGAGACCTCACCATGTTGTCCAGGCTGGTCTCAGACTCCTGGCCTCAGGCCATCCTCCCTCCTAGGCTTCCCAAAGCAATGGGATTACATGGGTGAGCCACCGAGCCCAGCCCAAATCTGTATTTTTCAATTTCCCTTCATTCTGTTGCTTACATGTGGGAACCATTGGTCTAATCCAACTCCAGACTTTCCTTGTCACCCATCTCACAGGACAAAAAAAAAAAAAAAAGCCCATTGGAACCAACGAGTCCTCCCAGTGGGTCAGCCTCAGCATCAGGCTTGGAATGCCTTTCGTGCTCTCTCTCGGGTGTGTGTGCGGCGCAAGGAGTAGAGGTGGGGAGGGTTTGTGAGTGGAATGGGGGTAAGCAGAGGATGGAGTCTTTGACTTGAAAGACTAGTGTAAATGACCCTCTAAGAGCCATGCCGCTTTAAACGCAACCCACTGGAGATTCTCGGTTCTCCTGTATCGATTCATGAAAACTCCAAACAAGTCCACACTGGTAGCCACCAAGAGTTTCTTGAAAGAAAAGTACCAGCCGAGCCGGGCTCTGTTGGCGTCCCGTCGCCAAGGAGACGGGCCGTTGCATTCGTCCTCCAGGGGTGCTCTTGGTTTTCTTTCCTCTCCCAGTCCGCAGCGCGGGGCCCAGGAGACGCCCTGAGGATCCAGCGGGGCTTCTCCAGGGCTCCGAAGCTCTTTGCAATTAGGAGCCGGCGCGAGGGGGGCGCGCCTGGCTCCAGAGGGGTCTTGGCATCTGAGTTTCCCCCCTAGGATCCCGGTGGTGCGGCCCGGGTCGCCCGGCAGGCGCCTGGGAGCTCCCAGCTGGCCTGGACTTGGGGAAGCGCGCCCAACCCAGCCCGCGGGCCGACTCCCCGGCGACCCCAAGGATGCCAGATGGCAGGAACGCCGGCCTGGACCCCATGCGATGGAGGAAGCAGCAGCAGCCTGTGCGCCGCACGGTCAGCCATGTCTGCCCGCCCCCGCGGCGGCCCCTGACCGTGGCGGACATCCGTCCCGGCATGGAGAACGAGCGGCTGGGGGTCGTGCGGGACTCCATGTTTCAGAACCCCCTCATCGTCAAGGTGAGCACCCCACGCCCACTGCGCTTTCGCAGTCGCCGGCTCCGGGCACCCACGCCGCCGGGGGTCCCCACCCGCCGCGCCCTGGCCCCTCGGCCTGGGGTCCGAGCGCAGCGTGGGAAGTTCCAGCTCTGGTCCAGACAGGCTTGAACCCCCGTGCAGGTCGCGTCGCCTCTCTGAGCCTCGGTTTCCCCATCCTCACAGTGGGATGATAATGGCACCACTAAAGGGACTGATTGGGAAGACTGAATAAGGGTAATTTCTGCGGGACCCCGGGACAGAGCCTGACATGGGGTAAGCCTGCAATGGGGGCTGCTGTGGTTTCCCACAGAGTGAACCCCACAGGGTGAGAGGTTGCACACGCCCAGCCTAAGTCCTGGGTGCCAGCACTCCTAGGGTAAAGGCCGCCTCTCCCGTTCCCCTGCACGCCTGGGGTACGTCTATGCAGCGGGGGCTCAGTGTCTGTCCTGGAAGCATCACGTCGAATATTCATTTCCGGCCGATCATTCTTATTTCTAACCCAAATTATAACCCTAAGAGAAAAAAAGCACAGTCTTTGGCCTAGGAGGCTCCGCAGACAAGAATGAGGGAGCTGCGGTTTCGGGCTAGATCACATTGCGCTTCCCTCCTCCCCACCTTTAGCCTCGCTTCCCGCTGATGGGAAACCAACACTGCTGTGGCGGCCACACCTTCCCGGGGGCTACGGGAGAAGTCAGGCTGAGGCTTGGGGGTCGTGGAGCAAGCCTCGGGGCGAATTTATCTTGCGCCGCTGGAGGGCAGTGCGCCTTTAAAAATGCGCTGCGTGTCCCAGGTGCGGGAGTGGAAGGCGCAGGTGGTAACCGTGGATTCAGCAACAATTATTTGTGTGACCGCCATGCGCTGAGTAGAGCCCAGAGATGGTGGTGGCGATTTGTTTTTGTTTTGGGGAAAAGGGAACTCGTGCTAGAATTAACTGAGTTAATTGGCTCCTGGCAAAACATTGACTCCCTCCTCTTGCCTTCCCTAAACTCGGTCCTGCAGAGGAGGAAGGATACTGCCCAGGTGCAGGCTGCACCTGGGCGAGGCTGACTTACCGTGCTCGTGCCTTTCCATCGAATAGGCCCCTTGGGCCCCTCAAAGTGGAACAAGGTCCTTCACTTACTTCTAGATGAGAAGAGCCACTCTCAGTGGACAGGCAGGTGGGGCTCACTATTCTTGTATCAAGGAGAGAATCACGCCCGCCACCTCTGACTACCTGCGTTA